ACATGGTCAGGATCTTCACAGCCAACAGCCCACTCTCTGGTACCAATTACTGTATTAGTCACTTTACTGTTGCTGTGATAGAAACACTGATCCAAGAATTTTATAGAAGGAAGAGTTTATTTGAGATTATGGTTCCAGGGGAATTACAGTCCGTCATGGCAGGGAGGCATGGTGGCTGGAGGTAGCTGTAGCAGGAGCAGCAGAAGTGAAACCCTCACATCATCATGCAAGCACAGGAAGCAAGAGAGCACCTGGAGATCTGGCAAGGCTTAAGAACTCTGTAACCCTACCCCCACTGACGTACTTCCTCCAGGATAGCCACACCTTTTAAAACCTCCCAAAACAGTGCCACCATCTGGGGACAAAATATTCAAACACTTGGAGCCTATGGGGGACATTTTCATTCAAACCACCACAGGGTCAATGGATAGAACTCATGTTATCAGGCTTGACAAGAAGCATTGACCTTGAGTCATTCCTCTGGCCCTGAAAATTTTAATATTTATAAGTCGATCTTGAGTAAGCACAATGCCTGTGATTTCCAATTTCTTTAAATTTAGAATATAAGATGTTGCCTTTAAAAGTGGCCTTGTTTCAGAATAGAAACACAGTTGAAACAGGAAGAGAGTATTTGACAGAATCAAGTATATTTTCTGTCAGGTATTACATACGCAGCACCAGGAAGTTTCACTAGGTAAGAGATACTAGATTCCTGGATAAAATATTCGGTCATTCGCTCTAATTTTGAACAACATCCTCCTGACCCTGTTAATATCAATGTGTCACTGTAAAAGAATACCAAACACACACTTTCATTTTCCACACAACTCACCTGGGCAATGTCTGCAATGAACTCTCTTCCTCTCTCTCTCTCTCTCTCTCTCTCTCTCTCTCTCTCTCTCTCTTCTCATCAGTTCTCCCTTCCCTTGCTTGTCTTGGTGGTTCCTCTTTTTCTGTGTGCCATCAGTCACATGGACACAAATCCATTCTGTGTTCAGTCCCCGAAGTGCACATTCCTATCCTGAAAGGACATTCTTAATAAGATCCACTAGAAAAGTTCCTTATGAGGTCTATAGTGACCATGCTATTGTCAGAAAATGTTCCCACGTTTGTGAGGGAAGCCATCCCACAGAAATTAGATCACATTAGTTTTGTGTCTGTAATTCTCTTGGGTTGTCAAATGTAGGAAAAACAAACATTATGGGCTACGTTGTAGATTTTTCCCCAGTGACTTTTGATTATCCTCTCACTCCTGTCTAAGGCTCTTTCCTCAATTTTTAAGGCAAAATTCCAGGGTCTGTGTTCCACTGCGGAAGAAAGTGATTTATGAAAGTGTTCTGAAGCTGTTCAAATAAGACAAAGGCGTATAAACCACAGCTCCCACTCTGGCTGGGAATGTCTCTTGTATTACCCTCAGAAATAACGTTTGCAGACTTCCCTGGCTGGATGCCAGTCTTGTCCTAAGGCACTTTAAAATGCTATTCAATCCCCTTATGAATAAAAAAGCAGTGAGCCAGGAAGTCATAATCTCAGCTCACCAACAATGGCTTCTTCATTTTTTGAGCATTTCTTTGCAGGCATAGCCAAATTTAGTATCCTGATTTCTACTTAAGTGCTTATAGTCTACCTATTCCTGGAAAATTCTTTCTAGAGAGACAGAAAAAGTTGATTCTGTCACTTCAGTCTAATTCCCTTAGAAGGGCCATATAAAAGTATTTCAACTTTGATATTTATAATGATTTTAATGCTTTACTAATATTATAAAAATCCCCGTGAGAAGTTTATCATTTTGTGTAGAATTTCAGAAACATTATAAAATGCATTTTTATACCAAACTCCAATAAGTCTAAATAATTCCCTTTTCAAGTTTCATTATCTCTAATATAAACCATTTCCATTCAATTTTTCATTTTTGTTTATATTTTGTGTGCAATGATTTTCAAAAATTATAATTTAAAATTATGAAATCAATATTGTATCTTCTTATTGCTTTAGTCCCTACAAAATTTTGAAACTATGCATGTTTTTACTTTGGAAATGTTACATAAGAAATATTTCTGCCTCCTTTTTATAAGGTAATTTGGGATTTTAAAATCTAGATATTTTAAATACCCAGCTAAGTGTTCAGTGTAATTTTGAGTATATTCTATATTTGTTCTAAAAGCCCATACAATTAGGCAGCTGGAAAATTAAAATCACCAGTTTCAATATTGATGTCTGAATTAAAATGAAAATGTTAAAAATATTTTTAATCGGAGATCATGAAACTGTCTTTGTTGACAAAATAGTTCATTAATCTAAATGCTTTAGAGTAACAGTGTAGGTATTTTGAAGCAAATTTATCCTTCTAGAAGTATTTAAAGTTTGATGGATTTGTTAAAGTGGCTGTCCCCAAATCTTTTAAATAAATATTAGAAAGCTATCTACTAATGTATATTCAAAGCCCTTCCAAGTAGCCTATTGATTTGTACAATATAAGCTTCTGTACAACCTGCTTACCAACAACAACCTGCCCAAGGTCAAAGGACACGTGATTTTATTTTTCTTCAAGGAAAAATTGAATGAAATTTGCCAATAGTTTTCCTTAAATAAGATGCTGA